AAAATCCACAATGAACGTAACTAAACCATTCAAAAAGGAAGCAGCCTCCAATAAAGACACATCCAGAGTACGGCTGGAATGTGGGTGGCCAGCACAGCACGGATAAAGGTCTAGAGTTAAGGAGGTAGTAAAGCACTGTGAAGTTCTGACACTGGTGTCCTGGTGGATAATGGGAGGTGGCACTCTTCAGTGAGTGCAGTGAGAGGGGGACTGAGCAGAAGGTCAGTAAGGACAGGGACTAGGAAGGACAGAAAGTGGTGTCATAGAAAGCCTGGAGCCTTTCCTTTCCTCCTTCTCCCCAGTCTCTGTTACCCACACACAAGCCACCTCCCTAGAAAGAGGCGGTGGCATGTTAGCTGGTCTTCTGCCATCTGTCTCTTCCTGTCTCTAGTTCATCCTACCCAGAGCTATTAGAGTAGCCTTCTTTCAGTACTTTTTTTAAAAAAAAAACTCTGTCCTGGCTGGGCGCAGTGGCTCAAGCATGTAATCCCAGCACTTTGGGAGGCCGGGGGGTGGGTGCGGATCACAAGATTAGAGTTCAAGACCAGCCTGGCCAACACAGTGAAACCCCATCTCTACTAAAAATGCAAAAATTGGCTGGGCGTGGTGGCAGGTGCCTGTAATCCCAGCTACTCAAGAGGCTGAGGCAGAAGAATCGCTTGAACCCAGGAGGCAGAGGTTGCAGTGAGCCGAGATCACACCACTGCCCTCCAGCCTGGGTAACAGAGTTAGACTCCATCACAAAAAAACAAAAACCAAAACAAACAAACAAAAAACCAACTCTGTCCTTGCTCAGTCATCTATAATAGGTCTCAGTTGCTTATTTAAAATAAAAATCTTTAAAGCCCTTCCCATCCCATCCTAGGTTACCCAGCACCTACTTTCAGTACCTCTCTGAGCTGCTATGTCTGTAAAATGAAGGTATTGCACTCTGCATGGCATATTGGAATAATTTTTTTTTTTGAGACAGGATCTCACTCTGTTGCCCAGGCTAGTGTGTGTAGAGGCACAATCACGGTTCACTGCAGCCTCAACCTCCTCAACAAGTCATCCTCCTACCCTCAACCTCCTGAGTAGCTGGGACCACAGGTGCTTACCACTATATCCAGCTATTTTTTAAATTTTTAGTAGAGATGATGTCTCCCAGGGTGAAGCGATCCTCCTGCTTCAGCCTCCCAAAGTACTGGGATTACGGGAGTGAGCCACCATGCCTGGCCTGGAATAAATTAATGGAAGAAAGGGTGCTTTAAAAAAAATTGTCCTCATTGCAACCTAATTTCTTAATAGTCCCCAGTTGAGTCTTCCACTTCAGTAGATTTTTTTTTTTTAATAATTGTAGATTTACAGGAGGTTGCAAAGAAATGTACAAGGGAAGTCCCATGCACCCTTCTCCCAATCTTAATGTTTCACACAATTAAAGTATACTATCAAAACCAAGAAATAGACATTGGTACAACTCATAGTGCTTATTCAGTGTTCACCAGATATACATGCTGTCAATATTTGTGTTTGCGTGTGTGTAGCTGTATGCAATTTTATCACATGTAGCCTTGCATAACTACCACCACAAACAAGATCCAGTACAATTCCATTATCACAAGACTCCCTTGTGTTACCCCTTTCTGGCGACACCCATCCCCTCCCTGTATCCCTGGCCCTTGGCACCCATTTATCTTTTATTTATCTCTGCAGGTATGTTATTTCAATGAACGTCATGTAAATGGAATTGTGCACTATGCATCATTTTTCTTTTTCTTTCTTTCTTTTCTTTTTTTTTTTTTTTGAGAGAGAGTCTTGTTCTGTCACCCAGGCTGGAGTGTAGTGGCATGAGCATGGCTCACTGCAGCCTCCACCTCCCAGGCTCAAGCAATCCTCCCACTTAACCCTCCTGGGTACCTGGGACCACAGATGCACACCACCACACCCGGCTACATGCTTCTTTTGAGATTGTTTTTTTCACTCACATAATTTGCATGAAATTTATCCACCAGCATTTAAAAAAAATAATTGTGCATAGTCTTCAGTGAGATGTGTGCATTTTCACCCATTTTTGTTCACGCCTTTTCCACTGCCTACAATGCCCCCTATCAACCGTCTCTACCAATCTGTATTCATTTCCTTCAGCGCATCTCACTGCTGTGTGCTTAAAACCATCAGACTTATTTCTCTTCCCTTATCAATTATGTATGTTTCCCATACCATATCATTTTCCACTTGCAGGTAGAAGACAGGGACCACGCCTAAAGATAAGAATCTTTATATTCCCAGCATCTAGTACAGTGCCCGAAATGTAGGAGGTATCCAGTAAATAATTTTTTGGATGTATGAATGACTGAAGTTGCTCTACTGGATTCTTATATTGTGTCTTGGGTATGTGCTGTCTTCCCAACTAGACTCGAAGCTATGTTGTAAATTTGAGAGCAGCAACTCCATTCTATTTACTAGTATAGGCGAGGTCCCAGTTAGGGTTGCCGTAGACATTTGTATGTGGCTTCAGTGAGCGTGTGTCTTTGTGTACATGGGGGTGAAGTGAAGGCGTGGTTGTGGGCTGGTTTCCCAGCTGCCCAGCCTGACTTTCCACAGTCAGCAGGATGGACCTGGAGATGTCGGGGCTGAAGACCTTGGAGCATGTGGCAGTGACAGTTTCCATCACTCACCCCGGGCGCGGCAGCTTGGAACTGAAGTTGTTCTGCCCCAGCGGCATGATGTCCCTCGTCGGCGCCCCCTGCAGGATGGACTTGTAGGTACACCCGCCCGAGGCCTGAGCAACCTTTCCAGCAAGGGCCTTTCCAAGGAAAAGAAATGGGAGAAGTGGATCCTGGCACTGTCCTAAACTACTGTGGCACTGGCTATCCCTGGCGGCTGGAAGCCTTTCATCACATGCCTTCTTCAAGTGTTAGGCCCTGCACCTCACATACACGTTCTCTAATCCTTCTAAGAACCCTGTAGATTAGATTTTGTAACCTCTTTTTACAAATGAGGAAACTGGCCGGGTGTGGTGCCTCACACCGGTAATCCCAGCACTTAGGGAGGTCAAGGCAGGAGAATCACTTGAAGCCAGGAGTTCAAGACCAGCTTGGGCAACAAAGTGAGACCGTCTCTACAAAGAATTTAAAGATTAGCCGAGCGTGGTGGTATATGCCTATAGTCCCAGCTGCTCAGGAGACTGCGGTGGGAGGATCACTTGAGCCCAGGAAGTCAAGGCTGCAGTGAGCTGTGATCATGCCACTGCACTCCAGCTTGGGTAACAGAGTGAGACCCTGTCTCTAAAAAAAAAAAAAAAAGAGGAAACAAGTCATGGAGCTAGTAAGTGCCCAAGAGAATAAGAATAAACCTAGACCCATGGGATTCCAAGCCTGTGCACACTCCATGCTTGCTTTTTCCACCACACCACGTTAACACAAGTTCCTCCTTCCATGAGACCCCAGGGGCAAGGGGCACCTGAGAACCCCTGGGGGCACCCTCCCAAGTTTCCATGGCTACTACAGGGAGAAAATGTTGCTGGGGGAAGGTCAGCTCTCTGGCCCACGCCTTCCACCTGTTTCTGCTGTGTTCTTTCCTCAGGGATCCCAACGGCTTCAACGACTGGACCTTCTCCACTGTGCGATGCTGGGGGGAGAGAGCCCGAGGGACCTACAGGCTTGTCGTCAGGGATGTCGGTGAGCCTCGTGCCCTCGCACCAGGCCCTGCCTTTCCTGCTTGTTATCTGGTCCCTCTGCATCTCAGAGTGCCCACAGAAAGTGTCCCGTGTGCAATATATAGGGTTGCCATTGGACCAAGAGGGTTGATGCCAAGAGTGTGCCCCATCCGTGAAATGGGCATTGCTATCTGACACTGTTCATTTATACTGCCTCTCATATTCCCTGGAGGAGCGACCCACCCATTTTCCTAGAATAGCAACAAAAGTCCTTGTTGAAACCACATTTCAAGTCCTTTTACGTATAAGCATCCTTCGGCCAGCCCCGGTAGGCAGGTAAGGGCAGGACTCATTTCACCATTTTTTTTTTAAACTGGCCCAGAGGTTTGAGGTGACTTGTGGAAGGTCACCATAAGTGAAGGCCACAATGTCCATGAATTTTGAATCTCTTTAGTGTCAGCGTATAGACTGGAAATTGAGCTCAACCCTCCCATCCTGCAGTCAAGTTAGGTATTCACTAGATCAGTGGTTTTCAAAGCTTGCTTTAATTTGGTAGAAAGACATTTTCTCCAAGCAGAATCCCAGCTGAACCCCCAAAATATGGGAGAGAAAAGCAAGACTCTGCTTTGGAGTACAACCTTTCAACCTTTTCCATCCCTAGGGGCACCCAGTGAGGCCCTTCTGCAGATCCTGGGGTCAGTGGGACAGAGTGAGGCAGCTCTTAGAGCAGACCATGTGGCCTGAGCCCCTTTGGGTGGCAGGGTGGGCAGGGCCTCTGCTGTTTGGCATGGCTGACAGAGGGGCGTGGCTCACGAGCTGCCCCTTGCTGCCCTAGGGGATGAGTCATTCCAGGTCGGCATCCTCCGGCAATGGCAGCTGACCCTATATGGCTCTGTGTGGAGTTCAGTAGACATCAGGGACAGACAAAGGTGGGTAAAGCTGCATGTGTCAGATGGAAGGCCACTCACAGGGGAAGGGCCGCCTAGGGAGCCCATCGCCCTCTGAACCCCGGCTGTGTTTCCCAGCTCCAGCCTCAAGCCGGGAGATGGAGCCCTGGGCTGGGAACTTAGTCTGGGCCTCTGCTTTTTGCTGTGAGGCTTCCCTGTCTTCAGCTGTAAGAGGGGAAGATGGGTGAGGGCAGATGGTATAGGCACCACAGTCAGTGGGGCATCCTCATCTCTTTTCTTCTCCACAGCCTGCTAGAGAGTGCCATGAGTAGAAAACACCTGCATGATGACTTCACTCTGCCCTGCCCACCGGGGCTGAAAATTCCTGAGGAAGATGGTTACACCATCACCCCCAACACCCTCAAGGTACTAGGGCCAAGACTCAAGCTGCGGGTAGACGGGACTGTCCTGTCTTGGGAATGGAGTTCTTAGTGTGCTTCTCAGGGTGACCTGCGTGGCAAAGGACTGGGAAGACCTGGGTCCCAGCAGTGGTTTCATAGCATTGCTCCTACCCTGCTAGCCTAACTCTTATAGGACAGGTCTTGTTCGGGGGTGGGGAGGGGGAAGAGTTTGTGTGAAAAAGGCAGTCCCTAGAAGGAAAAAGACTTTCTGAGCTCATTGTCCTGGGCTGAGAAAGCTTGTAGGTTTCGGGAAACAGTGCCTCACGTAGGTGCTTGCCTCGACCCCAGACCCTGGTGCTGGTAGGCTGTTTCACCGTCTTCTGGACCGTTTACTACATGCTGGAAGTATATTTGAGCCAGAGGAATGTGGCTTCCAACCAAGTTTGTAGGAGTGGACCCTGCCACTGGCCCCATCGGAGCCGGAAAGCCAAGGAGGAAGGGACAGAGCTAGAATCAGTGCCACTTTGCAGCAGCAAGGATCCAGACGAAGTGGAAACAGAGAGCAGGGGCCTTTCCGCCACCTCTGACCTCCTTGTCCCAGACCTGCTGGAGCAAGGGGACTGGAGCCTGTCTCAGAACAAGAGCACCCTGGACTGCCCTCATCAGCACCGAGACGACCTACTGCACGGGAAGGAGGAGCAGATCTGCTGACCTCAGGGCCTGACAGTGTGGGACAGGCTCTTCTTTCCCAAAATTAGGGAGCTCTTGAGAGAAAGCAGCCCTGATGCTTACATGTGGAATCTGAGGCATCCTCTGACTCCACTCAAAGAGGGTGAGGGCCTTCTTAAGATACAAATGGCAGAGGATTGCTGCCAGAGAAGTCTGGTCAGAGCCACAGGGTCTTCCTCCAGCCAAACGGGAACTTTCGGTGAGAAGGTGTTGGACAGGGGATTGGTGCCCCCTTTGGGTTGGCCTCCATCCTCATCTCTCTTGGGCCAAGCCGGTTGCCTAGGTTCCCCACACATGGGGGACCCCCACCCACGCATGAGTTAAGAAGATGCCTGCCATAGCCAGGAGCGCATCTCAATGGAAACGTCACTGGGGTCACTTGGGAAGAGGACTTTGGGGTAGAGGCTGGGAGGAGCCCCTGGACATGCCTGTCCTGAAAGCGGCTACCTCCATCATCCATTCCCAAGATGCCTGATCAGAAGCCAACCTTGAATGAACCCCTGGCTCCTTCACCTCCGCCCCCACGATTGGTATGATGCTGCTGGCACAGCTGGGATACACACGGCTCCCCCAGGCCTGAGCTGCTTCACTAGGGAATCCTGCGGCAGGACTGCAGAGCAGATGGCAGACGCGCGTGTTGGAGGAGAGAGCCTTGGGAGCCACTGCCACTCCAGTCCTGCCACCACCCTGTCTTCCTCTGCAAGTGCTCAGGGAAATGGCCTTCCTGCCGGAGGCCAACTATCTGCCTGACAGGCTGTGACTCTTCTCTCAACCTTGGCCTTCTCCCCTCTTCTGAGCTAGTTGGTTGAATTTTTTTTTAATGCTTAAGATTTGTTTTTCTCTTCTCACAGCAACATTTTCTTGAATTTTTTTCTGCACAGCTTTTCCAAAATAAAAACCTTCCAAACAATTCTGCCACTTGCAATCTCTCCTTTCCTCTGTCTCCCCAAAATCGCTGCACACTGCTGAGTGGCTCCTTTTTCCCTTCGGTCCCCGAGATTTTTCCCTTCGGTCTCCTGTTCTTCTACGGCCTGTTTCCTCTGAGAGAATCTGACCCTCCCAGAATCTTGGCACATGAAGGGTCCTTCAGAGGACGGCAGCCAGGAACACATACAAGCCTGAGATGCCTGCCTGTCCCCTGCTCAGATCTGGAACCCTAACAGAAGTGACCAGAGCAAATCAAACTCTGCCAGCCAGGCCTGAGAAAAGATTGATGTATTTTTTTTTTTTTTTTTTTTTTTTTGAGTTCCAACCCCAAAAATATTCCAGGAAAAGATAGGGGGCAGGCTGGGCTGGTTCTTCTTCAATGGGCTTTTGCCGCCAAGGAGGACAGTGGACTTAGCCCACATCCAGGCTACCCCTAGCCCGCTTCTCCCCTGCTTAGCCCAGGGAGGAGACAGTAGAGGTGGTGGGGGCAGCCAGGAGGGAGGGGCCAAGGCAGTGATGCTTTCGGGTAAGAAGTTGGGCTGAGGCTGGGGACACAGGGAGGAGCTGCCCATGTGCAGTTACCGTTGCTCAGTGACAGAGCCTCAAAGCTTGGCCAGGGCTGAAGGTACCACACAGGTGTGGGTGAGGCAGGCTAAGCGGGATGGCTGTAGCCAGGGAGCTGGGGAGGGCAGGGCTCAGGGCTGGCCCTCTCCCCTCTAACTGATGATCTGCCGAGGTCGTCCGTAGCCTGTCATGCCGGCCTGGGAGGCCCCTCTGTTGGTGCCCATCTGAAGGCCAATGACATGCTTTCCCTCCTGCAGCTGGCTCTCTGTGAATTCCCTCTTATGCTCCTGCGCTTTCCTAGAAAAGGAGGAACCAGGATAAAGACTTGCTAGAACTGTGTGTTTTCCACCTGTTTTCTGATCCCTCTTGTTAGGTCCTAGCCCGATCCCATTGCCTTCCTGTTTCATGTTTTTTCCCTAATCTAGCTTGCCTCATAGGCTAGGGAGACTGAGCGCAGGAGGGTGGAAAGGGAGGGGTCAAGGAGTATTAAGGACCCGTTATTCCCGATCTCAGACCCCCACTTCATCCCTTCTTGGCTATCTGCTTCCCCTAATCCTTCCCACAAGCTCCTTAGCACAAGCTGTCTCCCACCCCATGTGGAGACACAAGCTCCCTGGGGGCCACATACTTCATAAACCAGTTGGGATCTCCACGGTAGTGCCCATCATTCTTGGTGACTGCCAAGCTGCCCAAAGCCATTAGGGTCCTCTGCACTGCTGCCATGTCTTTGCCTGTGAGAAGACAGGAGAGAGGAGACGAATATCAAGAACGTATAAACAAGACTCCAAGCCAGGGCCTGCCCCCGTCTCTCACAAAAAAATGGCCAAACCAGGGGCAAGAGCTGTCCCCAATTCAAGGGAGGCCTCTCAGTGGGCCCTGTGAGCGTGGCGTGTTATTCTCGGCATATCCCATCCCTGCTGTGTGCAGGCGAGCACACCCCTAGTTGTGGCATATTCTGGTCATCCCCTCTCTCTGCCCCAGCACCCTGTCCTCCTGCCCACCTCCTCCCCCAGCCCTTTCTTCCTCTCTACCTTCAAAGAGATCAACAGTCTGGAACATGTCAGTCTTGATGACCCCATAGTCCTCAGCCGCCTTCAGGAACTGAGCCACCTGCTCCATCTGCTTGAAGACCATGGAGGGCGGGTTCTCAGGCACCTTCACCGGCTTGGAGCCATCAGGGTACAGGCTGTTCACCAGCTTGCTCAGAATCTGCCAGGCATAGGGCATAGGACGCAGCTTAGCACTCAGCTCAGGGATTGGTCCAGGACTCACAAGGTGGCACACCCTAGCCCCCCAGCCCAGGGTGCCACTCACCACGCCATTCTTTAGCCAGACCTGGAAGCCCAAGCGCCCACGGTCTGGGCGGCCCACATCAGGGCCGCACTGCACTATGATCCACTCCACCAGCCGCTCCTCCAGCTCCTCGTCGTACTTCTTCTCGATTTTGGACTGCACTTCGCGGCTCATGCCATAGGAAGGACCCTTGTTGGCCATGTTTGGGGAGAGCTAAAGCAGGCCAGGGTGGAGGAGGGAAGGGCAGAGGGTCAGAGGATCAGGGAGCAGCTCTGCTTTCACCTGTGCCAGGCGGCCTTCTAGCTCTGTGCAGGGTACCCAGCCATCCTAGACACTTGTCACAGCACTGCCCATTCAGGCCAGGCTCAGCCCCTAGTCCAGACACCTCTCTGAACTTGAACACCAGGAAACAGGATACCAGGTCTTTGGAGGTCTAGAGCAGGGGTCAGTAAACTGTTTTTGTAAAGGACAAGACAGAACATAGTTTAGGCTTTGCAGGCCATGTGGTCTCTGCTGTTGCAGTGGGAAAGCAGCCATAGACAATATGTAACAAATGAACATGGCTTTGTTCCAATAAAACTTTATTTACAAAAGCAGACAGCAGGCTGGATTTGGCCCATGAGCTGTAGTTTGACAACCCTTGGTCTAGAACATTCTTTGCCAAGACCAGCCACAGAGCCACTGGAGATATCTTCCAGAAGCCACATTGCCCGCACAGAATACAGCCAGCTGGGGCGTTTGTCCAGCAGCAGGTGTGAGGGTTTACTGCCTCTGCCTCGAGGAACCATCACCTCCCACTCTCACCCAGAAGCTGGCCCTGGCCTGGAAGCCGGAACTCCAGAACTGCAGCTCTTTTCAGGTCAGCTCAGCTTCTGGTCTGCAGCTGAAGAGACTAAAACTTGCCCACCCCAGGCAAGGGCTAGGAAGCCACCAAAGCCCAAGAGCTCTTGGCAAAGAAGCTGCATTTCCTCAGAGGAACCAGAGACACCTGGTCTACCCATCGACTTCCCCTCATGCCCTTATGGTCTCATAAGGCTACCCTTAAGGAGTAGCCTGAGTAACCAAGAAGTCAGAGTCCCCCAGGGATCTTCCAGAGCCAAGAGTCTGCCTGCCAGGGAATGGGAAGCCCGGCCCCATCCAGCAACTGCCACCCTGAGGGCCTGGGCCTGGCACTGCTCAGGAGTCCCACTCATGGAGAGGGGTGGCAGCAGGAGCAGGCCAGGCAGGTAGGTCCCTGGGCAGATGGATGGGGGTGGCTGGGAACAGGAACAGGAACCTGACTTGGCCACTAATGTCACCCTAGGGTGCTGTGCCTTCTCTCCAGTGTTTGTCTGAAGAGACTTCCAAAAGAGGCACCAAAGGAAGCCGAACCCATCTCCTGGCCTCAGAGGGTCAGAGGTTGGGAGGGACACACTGGTCTGAGGATGGAGGCAAGAGCACGCTCTCCCGGCCCCCTCTCTGGTGAGACCCCTCCTCACCAGCACCCCACCTGCGGGAAGCAGAGCGAACACTATCACACCCCAGCGGTCCCAGGCCAGCTGCCCAGCCCAGTGCCCTGCCCTTCCTTTCCCAGGGCTGACAGCCTTTCTGGGCTCGAGTTCCTCATCCGTGAAGTGGGGGTTATGTTATCGACCTCAGAGGGCTGTGAAAATGGGACGGTGTCTGTGAACTCCCTCACATATTGCCCAGCCCTTAGCAGAGCTCCTCGAAATGTCAGTTCTTTGCTGCCCAGAGCCAGGCTCCTGGTAATGACCAGGGAGAGAGCCTGCTTTTGACCAAGGAGTGAAAAACTGACCTAGAAATGTCAGTTCCTTGCTGCCCGCTCCAGCCTCCACCCCTTTCTCACCATCATTCCCTGAGCACGCAGCAGCGTTCACATGGACTCATCGAAGCGCCTGCCATTGGGCATCCCTCTCCTCCTTGCATCTATTTCCTTATGTGTAAAGTGGGGACAGGACCACCGCTGAGGACCCAGTTCTCTGAGCACTGGGGATGAGGTGGGCTTCTGGCCCAGCCAGCCCTCTCCCTGCCAGTGATGCCAGAGACCCCAGAGACAGTGCTCTGTTCCACTGTTCAGCTACAAACAGCCAATCCCTCCTTTCACCCTAAGTGTCCCAGCCCCGCTCCCCAAACACCCCAGGACTCCTGCACAAAGAACTGTGGTCCAAACCCCCAAGCCAGCTGGGACCAGGTGATTTCGGTAGCCCTGCATCCTGGCCTCCATCCATCCCAGCCTGTCTCAGCTTTTGCATCACCATCCCAGACAGGCACCCACCTTCTGTCCCTGGCCCTGCTTCTGCCCCCCACTCCACCTGCCCTCATGCCTGCCTTCCCCTCCCGCACCCCTGCTGGGCTCCTGAGGAACCGGATGGAAAGAGTGTGTGTCCCCTACCCCCAGCTTCCAGTCTCAGGAGGATCAGAACAGACAGTACAGGTCAAAGCAGCAAGGCTAAGGGTGGCAGGTACACAACACTGCAGCCCCCAGATCTAGAGATAAGATTTGGATTTTGGTCAGAGGGAGGATGAAGCACACACCACCCCCACTCCCACCCAGCACCACCATCCTTCCCCTTCCTCCTCCTGGGTCAGGGTCTGAAGGTGGAGAATCCCCAGAAACCCTTTAGAGTCCTCTGATGAAGCCTCCCCAGACCCACCTTCGAGCCAGTGGGGAGGGGAGAGGAGGATGACTATGGGGCAGCCCACCCAGGGGCATCTCAAGACACTCCCAGGACAGCATGGACAGGCCTGGACCCTCCTGCCCTGTGGCTCCTGCCAGGGCCCCTCCCCTGAGCTGAGGTGAAAGTGGGCAGTGGAGAAAGAAAGTCCGGGGCAAACGGGCAGGTGCCACCCCCTACCAGCAGAAGCCCAGAAACGCGAGTAGAACCAGGGGACCCTGCAGGGCTGCTGTGCCCCTTCTCTCTTCCCAAATAGGAGTGAGCACATCGGGACCTCTGAGAGGGCAGGAGGGTGGCTCCTCTCCACTCCACAGACAAACAGAGTGGCCCGGGTACATAAATGCGCGCCATCCTCACTGCTACCTTTGGAATAGTACCTCGAAAGGAAACTACGCTTTGGAGGAGACCAAGGGTCCCAGGCCTGCCCTGTCCATCACTCCGAAGCTCCTCCTTGGCAGTACCCGCCCCCACCCCTCTGCTACAGTGCGGGTGACCTCCCACTGTCAGACAGTGGAAGGGGCTGCTTGTCGGAAGGACAGGCCTCCCATCTCCACACTCTGCTGCCCCAGACTGTGGAATACAAGAGTTCTGTGGCCCTTCACATTGTCGCAGGGCTATCGCTGCTGCTCAGGCCCTGGGGACCCGCCAGAGTGGGACACCGTGCTCCAACACAGGTGCATTCACCCACTCCTCACCTCCTTGGAGGTTCTAGAGGGGCGACAGACAGCAGAGCCTTGGCCTAACCAGCCAGCGCCTGCAGCCTTACGCACACCCTGTGGATGCGGCTGACTGAGATGGGGAGCCTCCCTCTCACCCCGGTGGTTTCCACCATCAATTCCTCTGCACCAGCCAAGTCATCCCAGGCATTACAATGAGCCCAGGGCTGCCCAGTCTGAGAGAGATCCAGGACACTAGCGATCCAGCCCACTCTGCCTGGAGCTTGGGCCCCCACGCAGACTGAGAGGTGAGTTTTTCCCCAGCCAGGAGCTGGCGCCTGGGACCTCAGGAGAGCCTGCCTGAAATGCACCCACTGTTCCTGTCCATCTCCAGCCCAACTTCCCTCCAAGCCCCAGCCAGTGCACTCACAGGGCTTCCTCAGGGCTCGCAGAAAGGAGTGAAGACTTGTGTCTGGGCTTGGACAGACAGGATGGGGCGCTGGCTGGGTGAGGGGTTTAAAGGGCTGCCGCTGTGGTGATGTCAGCCTCCCCCGCTGGCTTGCTCCTCGGCCCCCTCCCTGCTGGAGGAAGCCGGCTCCCCTCCCCACCCCCGGCTCCCCCAGTGACTCCACACAGGCTCCATATTTGGGGAAAGACACCAAGTTGGAGCAGTCTACCGGGGCTGCCGAGACATTCTCTGCATGCTTTGGAGATGGAGCGGGCCAGGGCGGGGCATGCTGCCGGCGGGGAGCCGGCCCGGGAAAAGCCTTTTATGGACAGGACCCTGCCCGGACTTACGGCTGCTCCTACTTCACTGCTTTCTGGCCCCGAGTTTGAGAAGAGGGGGAGTTCAATAGAGTCTGGGTGGAGAAAGGGGCAAGGGGCTGGGGAGCCGGGGATCCCAGGGGTTTGTGGGGACAAACCAGCCCCCCTCTCCTCCTGGGGCTTTTAGCTCTGATGGGACATGGATCCAACCTTTCCTGAGGACCTACTCCACACCAGGCCCTCTGCAGTGCTCTCAGTGAATACTCACAGCTACATTGTGAGGATGTAATTACATCCCCATTTTACAGATGAGGAAACTGAGGCCCCGAGTGCATCTTCCTCAAGGCCACATGGTGAATGGTGAGTGGCAGATCCTGCGCACCTCTGCCGACTCCCATGGGTGCAGGAGAGGTGGTCAGACCCACCCTTTCAATTGTACCACACTGCCCAGGTTGAGAAGAGCTTTCAGTTCAGGTAGGTCTTGAGTTACATGCTTTAGGCTGGGATTTGAGGGTTCGGCAGAAGCTGTGTCCAACTCTGGTCCCCATCCAGTGGGCAGTGTCAATAAGAGGGTCTCTAAGGCCTGGCAGGGCCTGAGACACTAACGCAGGAACAGGAGACTCAGGAGGCTGGTATCCCTTCCTCCCTTTAGTAACAGTCCCTACCAGCCTGGAAAACAGACCAGCCTCTGTCCCTCCACGGAGATGACCCACTCCCATCTTGCTTGTACCTGGCTTCAGGGATCCTGGGGAGAGACAGGAGGTTAAAAAAGGTGAGACTAACAGTGGGGTCCCTGGACTGCCTGCTGTGGCACTCCCCTGCAAGGGCACCTGGTAGGGAGGACCTAACACTGTCCGCTACACACACGCCACCACACCTGGCACCACCCCAAGCCAAACAAGGCCCTAGGAGGGGGCTGCCAGGCCTGGCAGAGGAGAGACCCACCTCTGCAGTTCTGCCCACTGCAGCCAGACGCGCTCGAGCCCAGGGGAGGCACAGCCATAGCACCTCCCAGTGGCGCCTGTGGGAAGAGCAGGAAGAGGAGCGGGGCCCCAGCAAGGGGAAAAAGCCCACTCCTCCATCCCTGACGCCGCAGACCTCTGGTTGTGTTCTGAATTCACCAAACTCCTTGGCCTCCAAATCGTGTCCTCCTTAGCTGACTGAAGTCTCAATGAACCTTTCAGGGACATATCAAAACTCCCTCCTCTTGGAACCTGCCCAGCTTCCATCACCCTCCTGCCTCAGCCTGCTTGCTCAGCAGATTACAAACGCCCCATCAGGGAGCACTGCCTGGGCCTGTGGCCTGGTGAGCTGGGGGGCACTCGGGTCAGAGGTGAAGCGAGCCTCAGTCTGGTGGGCGGGGCCAGGTGGGCAGAGACTGCTGTTCCTGGGGAGGTAAGGACGGGTGTCTGGGGGGATGGCGTGGGAAAGGCTTTTTCAGTAACCAGCCTCTATCCAGCACAGTGCCCCGGTAAGTGTTTACTTAATTAATGCTGTTGCTGGAGAGACAGGAAAAATGGGAGAATCAAGGAACTGCAGTTCCCAGTAGGGCCATGGCTTGAAGGAAGGGGAGATGGAGGCCCTTCGCCTCTCCCCTCATCCTCAACAGCTCCACCCAGAGAGGGAGTGCAAACAAGGGGGCCAACAGCCGAGTCTGGTTGTTTATTGAATGCAAACTCATTCATAGAAAACGGAAATGCAACCATAGAATGGAAACGCTCTGAGAAAAGATCCAGACCCACTTCATCTCCCAGCCCACGCAGAGCTATAAAAACAAGTTGGGGAGAATAAAACACATTCCCATCCCCAAGGCAGAGGCCCCACCTGAGCTCCCCCATCCTTGGCATCTGGAGCGGACCAGGTGGGACGAAGGGGCTCCAAGGACCAGGGTGGCCAGGGCGCCCAGAGCTGGGGCAACTCAGTGTAAACTCCAAGGTTTCGTAGGCATGTGTGTGCGTGACTAACAGAACTTGGCTGAAGACTGGACGGAAACTCAGAAGCCAGCCCTGGGTCCTAGAACGAGGCTAGGACTGAGCACGTACAGGGAAACAGCGCATCCCTTCCTGAAGCCCCTTTCTAAGGCAGGCACTGGGGCGCCCGCGGCTGTGGAGGCGGCACGAGCTGAACTCTGTACCGTCCCTCCTTTGCCTCTGGACATTCTTGGGCAGCGTCAATGGCACTGGAAGGCCCCCAGCTGGGGCTTGGCAGGACTAAGGGCCTGGAAAGAAGGAAGGGAAGAGGTGAGGTGCTTCTCCCTCCAGTCCTGGTGCTGGCATCAGTCTGGGGGCTGATGGGACGAGGAGGTGACCTCTGAACTCAGCCTCTTGAATCAGAAGGCTGTTCTCAAATTGGGCTGACCGCATTGCTAAAGAGCCAGCCCTGAGCACAGGTCAGAGGGAAGACAGTACTCACCGCCCCGGGCCCCTTGCAGGCCTTAGCACCAAAAGTCTGGCACCAGCTGGCCAACCCCCAAAATCTCATACCCCCATCCATCCTGGCTGACTGGAATGGGCAGTGATGACAGCCAGGGACAGCCCCAAAGAGAACTGGGGCCCTGATACAGGACAGAGATTCAGGCCCCAGACTAGGCCCTGAAGCGGGAGTATGGGAGGAAAAAGGGGCCTTAGGTCCCAGGCTGGGGCATTGTGGGGAGGAGGACGGGCAAAATGCAAGGCATGAAATGGGGAGGGTGTTCCTTCCATCCTTCCTCTTGCAGAGGGACAAATGGAGAGCCAAAGGACGGGGGCCCATGGAAGGCCCCAACACTGAGAAGAAAGCAGCAATTTGGCCAATGTCCGGGGGTTCCAGGGGAGCAGGCCTCCTCCTTGGCAGAGGACAGCTGCAAGGCTCCATGCCACCCCATGACTGTCCCAGGCCAAGCCTAGGCTAGACCTGGCTGTCCTGCTGCCATCCAGTGCTGGGCAGCGGTGCTGGGACTCATCGCCACAGCACGACAGAGTGCCCGGTCTGTGACATAAAGGGGCTCAGGGCCCCCTGAGGTGAAGCGAAGGGCCCAGCTCCTGCTAGAAGACATAGATCTTGTCCCGCTGCACAGTGTCCAGGTCGTCATCCAGTGTCAGCAACACCTGGGGGGTGGACGCCAGATCAGCCACAGAGAAGGAGGCAGCTGCTACCTTCACGCACCCACCCGGCTTGGCCGAGAGGCCCGCTTACCAGGAAGGACCCGAACATGGCGATGGAGGAGAGGAAGTGCCAGATGTCGTGGTCGTCAAAGAAGTCGAGGAGGATGCAGTCCCGGTTGTGCTCCCTTGACTCCGCAGGGGTTTTCTTGGGGAGCAACAAGAAAAACTGCCGAGTGACCCTGCTCTGCCAGGGCCAGGGCCAGACCCATCTGCCATCTTGCTCCTGGGCACCCCTCTCTCCAGCCCCAGGCAGGACAGCAGCAATTCTGACCTGTCCCTTGTCCCCACCCCTTCCCGATCTAAGAAATGGCCTTTGGTTACAAACTTCTCCCTGAGTTCACTGGCTTCTCTTCCCCTTTCTTTCACTCTTCCCCTCCTTCCTTCTGATTCTCTTTCCTTGATCTAAGAGCACAGGGTTGCAACAACCTTGAAGGCCTTCAGCTGAGGATGGCAGAAGGCTTCTCACCCACTTCCCGGCCTTGGACTCCGCCCCTGCTCTCATCTTTCTGCAGGTTCATTGGTTTTTCCAAAGCACTACTGTCAGGTCACACCCCTGCTCTGGGACAGTAGCCATAACCTGTGGCACTCACAGTCTTCCCTGCTCTACCCATAAGCTCTATCCCATAAGCTCATCCAGGCCGTGTCTGTCTGTGCTACATGCCGAGGCCACAGACATCACCAAGACCTGCCCCACCCTCACAGTCGGCTTGGCTCCCAGATGAGTGCATTCACTGACCTCCAAATCTGCCCCGTATCATTACTACTAAGGTCAGAGCAGGTCTGGGCCATGGGGCTCTTCCCCATTTCTCAAACCTGGTTTTTTTTTTTTTTTGAGACAGAGTCTCGCTCTGTCGCCAGGCTGGAGTGCAGTGGAGAGATCTCGGCTCACTGCAACCTCCACCTCCCAGGTTCAAGCAATTCTCCTGCCTCTGCCTCCCGAGTAGCTGGGATTACAGGCACTCACCATCACGCCCAGCTAATTTTTGTATTTTTACTAGAGATGGGGTTTCACCATGTAGGCCAGGATGGTCTCGATCTCTTGACCTCGTGATCTGCCCACCTCAGCCTCCCAAAGTGCTGGGATTACAGGCGTGAGCCACTGTACCCAGCCCCCCTCACCCAGGACTTTTATAGCCCAGAACAAGGCCCACTTCTTCCAGGA